ATGTTAGCTATCAAAGAGCGACGTTGTTTTTCATTGGGACCTTCGTCTTCAAGGCTAAGCCTATACCATCCTAGTTAGTCTAGGCCTAGTGTAGGATAAGGCTAGCGCGACATGCGGACGTTGGTACGAGTAGGTTAGTCTACAAACGTCGCCTAAAGTAATTGATTTTACCCGGCAGAACGAAAGAAGGAAACTCCGCTTTTCAGTCGTCTTAGGAGCTCGTTTTTTGACAAACAATGACCTTTCAGAGGTCAAATTGCTGTCAAGAATATGAACTTCGCAGCAATTAATATTTTCCACCAAAAAAAGTTTCGAATTTAATGGAACATTTACATGACCTTTAAAAGTATAGTATATTTCAACTTCAAAATCCATAAGTTGGCCAAAATTCGCCAATTCTAATTTTAACAGATATTAATTAATAAATGATTGAGGATTATAATAAACTAAGTCATTTTAGGGTTAACGAGGGTTAACTATTCGAAAAATCAATCCAAAATCTGAGTATTTTTCAGTTTTACGCTGACTTAGCTTTATAGCCGAACCAATCAATCTTTAGACAAAGTTATAATGAACACAGAAGTAATTTTAACATAAATATTTTACGGAATCCATGATTGAACACCCAAAGTTTAGTGTGCGTGGTTGGCGTAGCCTACATAAACGTGCGTTGCTATGACAACACGTTCGATAGTAACAGTTGCAATGTTCGTAGAAATTCTGTTTTGCGCAGTAGAAAAATTATATTAGGCCAATTAAAATTCTAATCAATGGTGCAATTCAGGGACATAGGGCCCACATACAGAAGTTGAATGTGGTATTTTAACTGGGCTTATTGACACTCTTCGGGTGTGTACAATGAGTCACGCGCGTATTACTTTGAGATCGCCATTGAAACGGGGTACAAAAAAGTGGTAAGAAAATATTTCTAGCTTATAATAAAGAGACCTACCTAGGCCTACTCTAGATAAGGCCTAGCCTAGGACTATGTCTAGGCACCTCTCCCTAAAGCCATGTCCAGACTTAGGACATGACTATCAAATTTAGAGACGACCTCAATCGCCTTTTGGAAAGTGTTAACACAATATTGACAATTTTCACTATAATACTAATAATTAATAATATTAATAATTAATAATGATTTAAATAATAATAATAATAATAATAATAATAATAATAATAATAACTCGTAAACAGTAATTATGACTTTATTAAATCCATACAGATGGTGTTTTACTTTGTTTTAAATTTTAATATTGATTTTTTATAATTTTATGTATATTTTAGCGCTTTTATTTTTCTTGAATCTTAACTATTTAGGAAAGTATAATACATACATACTCCAAGTATTGAAATACACGCCATCGTGTTGGGATTCAATATTTCGACATTAATTATACAGTATTTTTATATTTCAATCACGCTTTTTTGATGATGTTCTTTCTACTTCATTTTATTAAAATTTTTTAATTTTGCATACGCCTACTTGTATGAATTTTATGAGTCAGATTTAAGCACGGATTGCTCCCTGACAGTGAACTTGTTTTTACTTTTCGGCAATCCTTGCGAGTTTGGGGCATATCCAGTAGGGGGCCTGAGTTTTTTTTTATGACTTGTATTTGTAGTGCTTGTATTACTACTGTATATATTGCTTGTCTTCGTATTACATTATGTTTCATCGACGATGTTAATGATGATAGGTATATGATATAATATTTTAGTGATTCGGAGATGGGGTGGTGATAGTAAAGATTGTTAGTAGGCCTCGTAGGGTAAACTTGCCATATCACATCTTACCTTGTGAATCCTAGTACTATTTATCCTTTTCATTCACTTTTAGTTCAGAACTCTTTTTCGCCTTACCTATGCGCCTCTCCCACTTGAATCATGAACCCATAGGCCTATATTACTTCTGTTTTAATTACATGTCGCTGCTTTCGTATCATAAATAGGCCTACACGGTATTATTTTTTTCATTAAAAATTACTGTTACAAATTAATTCCTATTGTAATTTCTTAGGTCAATTAAATTGAAATTAGAATCAGGCTATGTCATGTATGAAATTTTTGGTTATTCACAGAGGGACACCCACTGTAGGCCTACTACTAAGGCACACATCTCTTTCGACCTACTGCTCTGTGGGTGTCTTCATAGAGCCATATCAAGGTGACAGATACACTCAATACATTTAAAGCTTGGTTTCTATAGAATCGCTCACCCTATCGGCAACAGTCTGAGTCGCCGACAGCCGTCGGGAAGGTTGAACCTGGTTCATCTTTGCAGATTGCGTTGCAGACGAATGAGGGTGCATTTGCATTACACTCTAGCTGCATGCCTGACGCAATCGGGAAGGCACCCCGATTCAGGGGCGGATCCAGGATTTAAAAGAGGGGGCTCAAAATGTTTCCAAAAAGCCCCAAAACGAAAGAAGGGTGGGGGTGGGATCGGGTGTCCTCCTCAGGAAAATTTTGGTTCCTATAGATGGTCGGAATTGAGCTTTTCCGACTTCTGATGAGTCTTTTAGTGACCCATAAGTTCTTCAAAATTTAAGGTTTTACCCCTCTTGAAAAGAGGTCAGGAAATTTTATCTCATTCTTGAGGTCTATCATGAAGAAAAAAAAATCAAAGACAGGCAGTATATTATTATTCCATCAACATTGAGTTGCTAGATAGACCTATGTACCGTAGTCTTTCTTCCATGGATCGATGAACCGAGGCCTGAAGAACGCACTTTCGTACATAAATTATCACGCCGACAGCGAACCAAAAACAGTGTGTATAATTTATTATTGAAACCCATGACCATTAGATCAGTTGACAAGTGCATAAATCGCTTTTAAAGTTGTGTTTTGTGTTGGTACCGTCTAGTAGCCCTTGTTCTGTATGGGGCGGG